AGGACATTCTTGCCTCCCGCTGGGACCACTGTCCCCGAGTCATCCGTTCTGCAGGTGTGCTCCCCATCCCCAGGCACTTGCATCCGTGGTCAACCTTATGGTAGTGGGAAAAGACCATTGAAGATCCCCTGACAGGGAACTTCGGTTCCTCCACCACCATAAGCCCCTCCTCACGGAAGGAGGAACAATAACCGCAGCATCCAAGGTATCCTGTGAATGGTCCCACCATCTCAACAGGAACCCCTGCAGACCCCTCTGGTGGAATCTTGCCCACTGAACAGCCGGTAGACAGGATGTCATCAGACCCAACACAGACATGATCTCCCTTAAGGATCAGGGACAATTTGTCAATTTTTTCTTCCGGAAGGAAGGTCCTCTGCTCCACAGTATCCAGGATATACCCTAGAAACACCGTAACTTGAGAGGGGACAAGATTGAACTTTTGTAAATTCACTGCCCATCCCAGTTCCTGCAACCAAACCTGCGTAACTTCCAGGTCCGCCAGCCACTGAGCTGGCGAACAGTAAAACGTCATCCAAATAAGGGATGATGCAAATCCCCTGCATCCGTAAAGGAGCTATTGCCTCCCCCAAAACTTTGGTAAAAATGCGAGGGGCCGAGGACAGCCCGAAAGGAAGTGCTCTGAACTGGTAATGTACCACCGTCTGACCTACTCTTACCGCCAGGCGTAAAAAAAATTGTGACGCCCTGTGAATGGGGATGTGGAGATAGGCATCCCTTAAATCTAGAGTCGCTAAAAAGGAACCCTTTTGCAAGAGGTTCCGGACCAAAAAGATGGAAACCATGCGGAACCTCTTGTACCGGATCGGTAAATTCAAGAGTTTGAGATTTAGGATCAACCTGTACTTCCCTGACGGCTTTTGCACAACAAATACGTGAGAGTACAGGCCCTGACCCTCCTCCTGATCCGGAACCTGAATAAGCACTTTTCGATCCACCAACTCTCCCAACAGAAGGCAAAGAGCGTTTGCTCGAGATGCGTTCCTCTGGAGATTTGTGATCAAAAAACGATGGGGTGGGGGGCTACAGAATTCCAACCTGTACCCCTCTTGGATGATATTGAGGATATAATGATTGGAAGTAATCTCTCTCCAACTAGAGAGAAACCCCGCTAGCCTTCGCCCCACCCTCACACAGAAGTCACTGCTGTTATGGAGCTTGGGAGGGAAGGTTAGTAAAAATACTCCCCTTTCCCTTGCCTTTCTGTCCCGTCCAGTGTTTTTTGGGCTGTTCCCCCTTCGTATTCTGACCCTTGTTCCTGGGCCCCTTAAAGAATCTGGAAAAGACTTCTTATCAGCCGTACGTTCTAATATGGCCTCCAATTCAGGCCCAAAAAGAAGATAGCCACTAAATGGGAGATTGCAAAGCCTCAATTTTGAGGCCGCATCCCCTCCCAGGCCTTTAACCAAATCGCCCTGCGAGAAGAATTGACCAAGGCTCCCGTCCTAGCGGCCATTCTGACTGAATCAGCTGAAGAATCAGCCATAAAAGCATTGGCCTTGAACAGCATTGGAAGGGAATCTACGCTCGGCGTACCCGCCAGCAAGTGATTTTTCAACTGGGTAAGCCAATATTCCAGGTTTCTGGAAACACAAGTTGTTGCCAAGGCAGGCCTGAGACTTGTGCTAGCAGAGTCCCACGCCCTTTTAAGCAGTACCTCAGCCTTTCGGTCCATTGGGTCTCCAAGTACCCCCATATCCTCAAAGGCTAGGTCTGATTTCCTCAAGACCTTTGATGATGCATCAATTTTAGGAACCTTGTTCCACCGCAGTGATGCGTCTTCATCAAATGGAAAACATATTTTTAGGCTGTTAGAAAAAAGAGGTTTCCTCTCTGGTTCAGCCCATTCCTTACAGATAGTATCCGCAAGTACTTTGTGCACCGGGAAAACTCTGGCTTTCGGCTGCTGGAGCCCCTGGTACATCACATCGTGCCTAGACAGCAGCACTTTTTCCTCCTGAATATCCAGGGTATCATACACGGCACCCAACAATTCATCTACCTCTTCTAGAGACAATTTATACTTGGAGGTAGGAGGACTCTCGCCTGTCACTGTCCTCTTCAGCAGAAGATCCCTGATGAAAGTATGCAGCGACGCTATACTCCCTTGGCTCCCTCTGACAGACCTATCCTGACCTAGACCCTGTCGGGAGAAGCTGAGCCTGAGCCGGACATCCGGCCACCAAAACCTTTGCTGCAGTTGGTCTCAAATCTGCTATCAGGGATCTAAAAGAGGAACAGTGGACAACAAGCCACCGCATGCTGAGGCAGATTCTTCCCTGCACACTCCAATGCATTTTTGACAGAGTGGTTTCTTCCAATCAGACCCCAGCTTCAAGGAGCAAAGTACACATTTCTTTTTTGGGACCGCCTTGCCCTTAGAAACCTGGACCTGCAACACAGAATAAGCAGAATTAACTCTCTGCTAACCTCATGTAGATAAGTCATAGTGCCCGCCCCACAACCCCCTAAGCCCCAACACCAAGGAGCCCCAGGTGGAGGAAAATAGCTAGTCAGAACTACAGTGAGTGAATACATGGAAGTATCCACCTACCTGAGCAGAGCTGGTGCCTGAAGGACCTGTATCCATCTGTGCGGGCTGTAGAAGAGGAACAGGATCCATCTTGGGGAAACACGAGTACTCCCACCGGCAATCTCTCACAGATAAGCCTGTGATCACGCCTTGTGCACCAGCCAGGCCCATTCCCCTTCCTCTGCGCCGGAAACTAGGCCTGGAACACAAGGCCGCGGCGCCCAGAAGTGCGTCACCGGAAGTGACCTATTCGGCCATCCGATCCGACCGTGGAGAACCTCCCAGAATCCCCAGACCGGCGGCCCCTGACTGCTGAGCCATTCGGTCCAAGGATTCAGCCAAGGGGGTAACGCAGGTTCCGCTGCTGGCCCTCCCCGGGCACTAAAGAGGACGAAGGATCCGGTGGGGAATCCCCTGTCAGAGGAGCGCACCGGCGGCCTACTAAGGTACTTCTGACGCTCACAAGGGTCCCACTGAGAGGGAACACTGGGGTACCTTTCCCATATCCCCACACCGTTCTGGTGACATGTCTCCCCCTGACGGAGAAAACACAAAAAACTGAGGAGCTAGGAGAGCGGCGGGCCTTTTAAAGAAACTAGGGGTGACGTGTGTCCTACTAAAAGGGGCGGAGCCTATCTCTCGTAAGCTGTTCTGGAAGACGAAGGGAAAAAAGTCCTTGGCAGCGAAAATATTAGAGACCTGGTCACTAAGAATTCTGAAAGCTGCAGGCAGCAAATACAGGTGAAACTTTATTAGAATATCGTGCAAAGTTAATTTATTTCACTAATGCAACTTAAAAGGTGAAACTAATATATGAGATAGACTCATTACATGCAAAGCAAGATAATTCAAGCCGTGATTTGTCATAATTGTGATGATTATGGCTTAAGCTCATGAAAACCCCAAATCCACAACCTCAAAAAAGTAGATTATTACATGCAATCAATAAAACAAGGATTGTACATAGAACAATATCGGACCTCTGAAAAGTACAAGCATGCATATGTACTCAGTACTTGGTTTGGGCCCCTTTTGCAGCACTTACTGCAATTACTTTTGCACGATATTCTAATTATTCGAGTTTCACCTGTAGAGTGCCTTTCAGGTAGGGCTGCAACTAATGATTATTTTCATTATTTTGATTAATGCCTTAATAATCGAGGCCTTGTTTCGTTTTTTTGCACCCGTGCTATAATCCACATTTTAGGCATGAAAATTACTTAAAACCCCCAAACATTATATATTTTCTGAAAGCCAAGACCCTATAGAATAAAATGCACATTTTTATGCTGCACAATATTAGCGCAACTTATTATCAAACCCAAAAATTTAGTGCAAAATGCACTTAAGTTAAATTTAGTGCCCCAAAACAAAAATACTAATTAAATAGAATATAAACGATGAGGTTACAATGAATAAATGGATACCCAACATGCCCAGGTAAACAAATTGTGTGCGTCTGTAAAACGGTGACAAAATGTAGTACCCCAAAAATTCCATAGACACTTTAAAAGCCCCTACAGGTCATCAATTTAGAGATACACATTGGCCCTAGAATTATTGCTCTCTCTGCGTGCGCGGCGATACCTAACGCGTAACGTAATCATTGTTTTCGTACGTAGGCGCACCAGACGCGTGTTCACATTTTAAATTGCAATAGCCAATAGCAGGCTGGCTATTGCACCCGCCCACTGCTTGTTGTGCCCTCCTCCCAGCATGGAGGAGAGAGCTAGGGGATCCAACCAACTAATTGATAATGAGAATAGTTGACAACTATTCTCATTATCAATTATTATCGACTCTTCGATTAGTTGGTTTCAGCCCTACCTTCAGGTACTCAGTTTACAGAAAAATATAGCATATTAATATTAACATTTTCCTTTTGAGCCAGTGGGGGTGTTAGTATCTTTTGCACATGTTCCACTTCCACTTGGTAAGCTTAACAGTAAAAACCTGTTTACAGCGTTCAATAGCTGAAACTCAAATTTAAACTCAAGTGGTTGACTTTAGTGTATTTATTGTAGAGACTCATTCTCTTATCAGAACACTCCGAACATTTTAGTTACACAGAGCCTGTCTCATTAGCTAACCTACAGATCTCTGAGAATGATGCATCAAATGTATATAATGTGTAAATGCAAAAAAAAAAAAAAAAAGAAGATTACAATTTTTTTTTAAATAGTATAATTGCTACACACCTTATGCAAAGAAAACCAGCAGAAGGTAATTAAACAATGGATATGACCCTAAAACTGTAAAGAGCGCCAAAACTTCTCTAAAAACTACTACACAGATATGGAACTAGTATGTTTTTTCTGATCTAACATACTTCTGTAGTATATTTAATTATACATAATAAAATGCTTAAATATAAATCAGGTACAGCCACTAAATTTGGGAACATAACAAAGAAAAACAAAAACAATTTGTAAAAAATACGACTTACCTATACAAAGCTGCATAATATCTATGTGACACAGTTTGCTGAGAATCCATGACTTGAAACAGAAGCATTAAGATTTGCACACTTGTATTAAAATTCACAGCATGGAGTATTTTGAATAGGGTGTCGAGCTGCTCTTTCACTTTCTCATTGCCAATTTCAGCAAAAGGATATGCTCTATTCACCCCAGTCAACAAAGCCCTCAAGATTTTGGAATCAATCTCTTTTTTCTTTATACATGCCCGGAAAAAAGAAAAATACACTGTGATCAGTTGGTTTGCCAAGTCTGATTCTTCATGGGAGAACATGATTTGATTCAAAAAGCAAATGCCATAATACTGAGCTTTCTCACTTATATTAGGGCGATATAGAAGTCTTTCCACTTCAAGACAAACAACCACTTTCATATTTGGATGCTTATTCAGCAGCACCTCAAGTAAATAGGAGGCCTTTGTGGCAATTCTGTACTGAGGGTCTCCCAGTTTATTAACCAAGAGTGTTAGTAGAGTCTTCTCTTCTTCAGGCTTATTACAGAGCAATTCACTGACAACATTGAGCACTTTGGCTTTAGTTGCAATCAAGTTATCATGAGTCAAAGTGTTTAGCACTTCGACAAACTCTGCTACATGTTGCTTCAGGTGTTCTTCAAAAAACCACAGTATCAGCCGTCGATCCCTTGCATCCCTATTGCCACTGGAAATTTCTTCAAGCATGTCAAAATCATGCTGAGCAAATGTATGAAGCTTCCGATTGTCAGGCAAAAGATCAGACAGGATTAAATCCTTAAATGTATCCAGTGCCATAAGGTTCTGACGTTTGCTGCCCTTTTTTTTGACTAAATTTGTTAAATTCTCAACAAAATGTAGTGTGTGAACAGGAGCATCCTGTATAAGAACAGTCATGGCAGCCATTCTGTCGGCTAATGTGCCTGTTGACACAACAGTTTTCATCCATGTAGTGTTAGCACCTTTCTGGAGTTCTTTTTTATTTTTATACAGATTAACTTCATGTTCATATAACTTCTTCGCTAAAATTTTATATTTCTTAACATCATCTTCATTCTGAGGTTTGGCAGTAAATTCTTTAGTATATTCATGATCATACCATTTTCCACCACGTTTCAGAAGCAACATGGGACGTTCTGAAAATTCAAAGATTTGCTTTCCTTTGTTTTTTGATGTAAAAATTAAACTTTCTTTTTTCTCCGATATTGGTTTGGTCTTTTCTGCCTCTTTGGTAGTTTGAGTTGTATCTTTTTTCTTGCGTTTCTTCATTTTTTTCTCTTCTAAACTGTGGCTTGTTTCCTCTTCCGTTCGCTCTTCTGCCACCTCTTCTTGCTTAGTCATTTCCTTAGCAATTTTCTGAATGCCCAGTTTTTCTATAAATGCCTTCAATTCACCTTCTTCTAGATCATCAATTCCACCCTTCTTGCCACCATCTACAATTTCTTCCACTTCTTCCAAGCCTGCAAGCATTACAAAATCTAGCTGCAGGGAACAAAATAAATGTAAATAACTATTTAAATTAATACAACAATGAAACAAAATTATACATCTTCTATAGTGAATTAAAATTACATTTGAAGCAAACACAGCATAGTATTATAGTGAATAATCCTGTAATACAAGTAATCATAGCTATAGATCAGGGGTGGCAAACTCAAATTCATCGGGGGCCACATCAGCAGTATGGTTACCCTCAAAGGGCCGGTTGTATAGGACTATGCATCTACTCTTTATTATCATAAATAGTTGCCTCTGCATTCAGTTGCTACTGGTTTTAATAATAATTTAAGTAATAACTAGCCTTGAAAACATCCACAAGAAACTTTATTGGAGACTGCTCAGACTGCAGCAGAAATCCCTAATCTGGCGTTTTCAAGTGACAGCTGTCACCTAGTCAAGTTAATGATCAGGTGACAGCAGCTCCATGTAAACGCATGCACACCGCATGTAATGATACGTGATATGATTACATGCGTCCAGGGAGAGTGATTGATTCCTAGCGGAATGTAAACATATCACGTATCTTTACATGCGGTGTGCAGGCGTTTACATGCAACTTCTGTCACCTGATCATTAACTTAGGTGACAGCTGCCATTTGTAAAACGCCAATTTAGGGATTTCTGTTGCAGGAAAAACGCAAGTTCCTGATGCAGAAATCCCGAACTCTCCTGTGTGATAGCAATAAAGTTAAGTGAAAAAAATTTAAAAAAGAATTAAATAAACAAATTAGTACAAAATAATAATAATAATAAATAACAAAATTGTGGAATCTGGCCTTGGGGCGGCAGGGAGAGTAAATCCCTGACCATACACATACCTTGTTCTTGCAGTCTTCTCTTCCCTTCCTTAGCAGCGGGGGAGGGGCGGCGATTTGTGAATGGGCCATGGCTTATTGATATGCAAATTACCGCGGCCCATTCATATGTTAATATCTCGGCCGTTACCGGGACAGTGCAGGCTGCAGGAACAGCACCAGCAAGCTCCGGAAAGAGTACAGAGTAGAGAGGGCTGGGGGAGGAGGTGTTTCTCTGGCCTCCCCCACCAGCGCCCTCTAGTGTCTACTGTGTGGTAGTGCCGGCTCTGCTCGCTACCACACAGTAGACACTGCTCTGCACAGAGTCGGCATAGCGGACCGGCCCTGGCTGCTGTGCGGGCCACATTACAAGGTCCGCACAGCAGCCAGGAAGGAAGCACAAAAGGACCAACATTTACTTGAATTAGCAAAAGATTGCCTGTTTAATGAATGAGATGAAGTCACAGTGGCACAATGTACACACTGTACTATATATGACAATGCTGTGATGATTGAAGCTATGAAAAACAATGAGTAGTGTTCAGAATGAAGTGGTGTGGAGTGTGTAATGTAGTGTGCAGTGAAGGGAGAGAACACCCCAACATCCACCCAAATCCACTCAGCATACTGAACCATGCAGTATTATACACTCTGCACATAAGAATGTCACATCTCTTAGTCCCCTCAGAGCTCCCATATGATAAGCAGGCTGTCACTTATCAGGCTCCAGGCAGATCTGCACATACTGGCCAAAAGCCTTATCTAGCCCTGGGCTTCCCTATGACAAGGACCTGATTTAAAGAAGAACTCTGGGCTACACTGCAAGGGTTAAGTGCTCTTTTTGCCTAGGAAAATAAACAGATACACTCACCTGAACCGCAATCCCGGTTGGCTCCTTAACCAGTCCCTACAGCCTCCGCCCCGGCAGTCTATGGTCCTGGGATTTGTCACGTTCTTTACTGGATATCTTCCTATGGACGTGGAGACGCGGCCGCTATGCACAGGGATCTCCGCCGGCAAATGGTCCATGTGCTATGTGCTGGGCTGTTGGCTGGGGAAGATTAATGTGCATTGTGGGGCGGTGTCCTCTTCGCGAGTGCATAAACGCCGGCGAGGGCCCCTGTGTAATGCGCAGATTTATTCGCTTGGTGGGAATGTATGTACTTTGAGGACACGGTATAATTTGGATACATATCTGCCTTTATGAAGGAACATACGCTCATGTCTGATCAACACATTGGAAATAATATGGCGTCTTCCCTGCAGATAAACTCACATTCATGGGAATAGTAGTATAGTTAGGCATTGTTCACTGAACCTAGCTGAATAGAATTTGCGCCAGTGGTAATGGCGTTGCACCTTGTGCTGTACATTCACGAACTTATACTCCCCTTTCTATTGTCTATTCAAATGTATACATGTGTCTCATTGGCTGACTCTGTTATGTAAATGTATTGAGGAATTGATTGTCTGTTGTGGCCATCTTTTTCTGTTGTTATCCCTGTTTGCCCTATAAATAAACGGAGCTCCCTGCACTAGACAGGACTTTCTACTGAGCATCCAATGTGAGAACAAGTTGTGTCCGTTTTACTTGGTACAGCCGAGCGCGCTTCATCATATTATACAAAAGAGCTGAGAACTGTGCTCACATGATCGCGGTTGAAAACACTGCGCATTTATTCGCATGCAGATGGGGGCAGCGGGGCTGGTTTTCATTTTTTACATTTTTATTTACTGTGTAAATATTTTTAATGTTCATTTGTATTTTTACTTTATCGCCTTTTTATTTTTTACATTTTTAATTAGTTAGTATTTTTAACTTTTTATATATTTTTTTTTTTCACTTAAACATTATTGCTATCACACAGCCGCTAACAAGCCCTGTGTGATAGAATGTGGAGGTGACCCTGTCACCTCCAACACAGGAGTTTTAGCACAGCACTGTGCTAGAACTCCTGTGACAGGAATGAGCAGCGGCTGGGAACAGAGGCTGAGGGAGGTGACAGAGCCTGTCACAGCTCCACCGTCCGGCTCTGTCACCGCTCAACGCCCAATGCTCTCATCGCTCCACGCCGCCCCACGCAGTCACCGATCCACGCCCCCCGCTCTTGCCGCTCAGTTACAAAAAAAAAAATCAGCCCTGCTACTTGTCTGTAGCAGGGCTAAAACACTGAAAAAAAAACACTTGCCCAGCGTCCAGAACTACATGCCCAGGGCGTCGGGCAATACGAATTCCACACCCCTGAACCTGTGCAATAAGTCCGTGAAATTTCCTTGCTACTAAAATATTCCATGGTCAACTGTTAGTGGTATTATAACAAAGTAGAAGCAACTGAGTACAACAGCAACTCAGCCACGAAGTGGTAGGCCATGTAAAATGACAGAGCAGGGTCAATGTATGCTAAAGCGCACAGTGCGTAGAAGTCGCCAACTGTCTGCAGAGTCAATAGCTACAGACCTCCATACTTTGTGTGGCCTTCAGATTGGCACAACAGTGCGTAGAGAGCTTCATGGAAAGGGTTTCCATAGCCGAGCAGCTGCATCCAAGCCTTACATCACGAAGTGAAATGCAAAGCATCGGATGCAATGGTGTAAAGCACACCACCACTGGACTCTAGAGAAGTGGAGAAGTGTTCTGTGGAGTGACAAATCACGCTTCTCTGTATGGTAATCCGATAGACATGTCTGGGTTTGGCGGTTGCCAGGAGAACGGTAATTGCCTGACTGCATTGTGCCAAGTGTAAAGTTTGGTGGAGGGGGGATTATGGTGTGGGGTTGTTTCTCAGGGGTTAGGCTTGGCCCCTTAGTTCCAGTGAAGGGAACTCTTAAGGCATCAGCATACCAAGACATTTTGGCCAATTTCATGCTCCCAACTTTGTGGGAACAGTTTGGGGATGGTCCTTTTTGTTCCAACATGACTGCACACCAGTGCACAAAGCAAGGTTCATAAAAGACATGGATGAGCAAGTTTGGGGTGGAGGAACTTGACTGGCCTGCACAGAGTCCTGACCTCAATCCGATAGAACACCTTTGGGATGAATTAAAGCGGGGACTTCGAGCCAGGCTTTCTCGTCCAACATCAATACCTGACCTCACTAATGTCCTTCTGGAAGAATGGTCAAACATTCCCATAGACACACTCCTAAGCCTTGCGGACAGCCTTCCAGGAGAGATGAAGCTGTTATAGCTGCGAAAGGTGGGTCAACTCAATATATATGCGTGTAAAGGCAAGCATTCCAATACTTTTGGCAATATAGTGTATTTTAGGTGCTGTGTGAATAGGAACACAGTGCAGCGCTATGTAAGGGCACTCCAAATGCCCGAGATTCCTTCATCTGTGCTCTCTGTGCCAGAGTTGAGAAACAAAAGTGACCAGCCAGGAACACTGCTTCACCCACTTACCACAGGCCAGAATTCAAGGCTTATCCCCTGGCACCACACCTTCCTGAAGAGCCACCTGCCACCACCAGTAAAGCTGAGGGGGCCCCAGAATGCAACCACACCCTTCAGGAGGGTGGTTCAGGTGGGTCAACTCAATATATATGCGTGTAAAGGCAAGCATTCCAATACTTTTGGCAATATAGTGTATTTTAGGTGCTGTGTGAATAGGAACACAGTGCAGCGCTATGTAAGGGCACTCCAAATGCCCGAGATTCCTTCATCTGTGCTCTCTGTGCCAGAGTTGAGAAACAAAAGTGACCAGCCAGGAACACTGCTTCACCCACTTACCACAGGCCAGAATTCAAGGCTTATCCCCTGGCATCACACCTTCCTGAAGAGCCACCTGCCACCACCAGTAAAGCTGAGGGGGGCCCCAGAATGCAACCACACCCTTCAGGAGGGTGGTTCAGGGTACAAAAAGCAAAAAGAAACGTTTTTTGCTTCACTATCTAAACTCAGCCCAAAGAAAAAAAAAGTAGACAAAAAGGGGACACAGCTCCAAAGAAAGCTTGCCTATTGCACCCCGAATTCCAGCAGAACCTTTCGATTTGAAGGAGAAAACACCAATACTGACCATTTCGGCAGAAGGGCTTCCCTTTAAAGCTTGGTGATATGTTTCCAGTATCAGTGGGAAAAGGTGCCTCATGTGCTGTCCTGGAAGATCATTTTGGAGACTGCTGGTACACATGGTCTATTGGCACATGCAGGACAGCATCTTTTATATCCAGTGTCGTCATGAAGGCTGAA